AAGCGTTTATTATGCTGAGCCATCTCCCTGGACCCTATAACTTTAATAAATTGTCTGTCTGTCTGTCTGTCTGTCTGTCTGTCTGTCTGTCTGTCTTTTTGATAACAGGAATTAATCTGAGGACCTCCTGCTTGCTAGGCAGATGCTGTGCCACTGAGCTGTGTCCCTGGCCCAGTATATGTCATTTTGTGGCTGTCTCCATTTACCCTTCCTTAGGAGTGAATTAAAAACAACAAATACTTACTCAGTCACTCTGTATGACTAGAGTACTGTAAACTTTATAAATCACTGTTAGAGTATGTTTGTTTAGGAAGCCTTGTTATGTGGCATCAGTTTACAGTTCTGTCATCATATAATGTCATAAAACATGTATTTTAAAGTCATTCTGACTTCTTTTAAGACCATTAAGTAATATAATACATCTTAAATGTTTACATAAACTCTAAATGTTTATCTTTGTAATTAAATAGTAACAAAGTGCGACCATCTAGAAACCCTGGGCATCAGTTGTAATTAATGGCTTCAGAGTTTGTCATATCTGTGTATTTATAGCAAAAGAAGATTTCACTGAAGCAGGAAACTACTTGAAAGGATGTGTCCTCACTGGGATTTATTCTGGAGAAGATGCTTGGATACTGTAAGCTTATTGCTTTTCTAAATTGAGGGAGGAAGGAACTATGCTATATAATGTGTTGATTGTCTTTATGCAGCTGACTTAGGAAGATAGAACAGCAATGTAAATACATGTTTAATTTCATTCTAGGAAGCTCTGAGAAGCCCTGGGCTATTTAGAGTCTTTGAATATTCTTTTGGCCAGAGTACCTACAGGGATAATCTCAGACTCATATGCTTCAGTTTTCCTCTTTGGGGCTTCTATTCCCTGACATTTTCAGGGAGCTGTGACAGTTTTTATAATTTTTTGAAAAGTTTATTTCCTAAGCATCTCAGTTTATATTTGCTACCAAAGTATATGCTTACAAAGCTGGCACTTTTCAAGACACTTAAGTTGCTTTGTGGAAGGTGGGGCGGCTGTGAGTACCAAAGTATTATAGTTATTGCAGAATGGAGGACTGGGCTGCAAGTTTGGAGCCAGTCATTGGTACATAAAACGTTCTGCAGTAGAGGCTCATTTTCACATGCAAGTGGACAGTGAAGCTTTTTAGTACTTTGTCTCACTTTCTGGCTATAATATTCCTAATTGTGATTTGAGTTTAAATCTTTCATGTTGAACACAACTCTGGATGATGAAGCTTTTGTTGATGAAACTGGTCATTTTTGAAAAGTACATACTAAGCCTGTAAATATGAGACCTATTGATTTGACAGCATATAATCACTTACTGTTTTCTTTCTTTTTTTATATATTTGGTACAGGATCTCACTATGCATCTCAGACTCGTAGTGATCCTCCTGTTTTCAGCCTCCCCAGCCCTGGGATTACAGGCATACACCACTGTGCCTGGTCTTGGTGGCCAGCTCATTGTGCCCGGGGGTGGGACCGGTGCAAGCATGTGGTGCTGGGGATTGAACCCTGGTCCCTGTGCTTGCCTAAGCAAGCACTTAGTCCACTGAGCTATCTCGCCAGCCCTTACCTACTATTTTCTACTGTCAGTGTATATTTATCGATGGCCTAAAGAGCAGATTGTCAGATTGCAGAGTGCTGTGTTTAAAGCCAGCTGGCTAACTCGGAAATTCCCCCTGCGTGGTAGGAACACTCCCCCATTACAGCTCCCACATTACTTCAATGCTGATGTTCCATTCTGGCAGAGGCCAAGTTATTTCCCATGTAACCACCTGGTTATTGATTGCACACAAAGCATTTTTGCTGTTTACTTCAGGGCATTTTCTTTCAGGTTTAGTTAGGAGAGGTGGGGGAGAGTAGATGTGAGTTCTCTGTAGAGAGAGCACACACCTTGTGTCTGGAGCCCCTCATTGGAATTCACAATTCTATGTCTTCATCTGTAAAATGCCACTCTGGAGGCTGCTTTCCAGGGTGTTCTGAGGGCTAGGGAACACGTCCCCAGGACAGCTAACAGGGTGCCTGGCGCTCAGAGTTTCTCTTAAGTGCCCTCTCCTGAACTCCAGGCTGGCTGGCACTAGTCGTCCAGTGTGTCCCAAATCCGGTTTACACTCATACTTGATGAGTAGGCGGCGGGGGGATCAAATCTGGCTGGCTTGTTACCTGTTGCTTTCTTTTACTGAAGGCTGTCAAAGCTCCTGAACTTCCTCAGCCTCATATGGAAGCTAAATTTGCCTAGAAACTAATATTTTTCTCCCCTAGCAGTAGGGCTTTTCAGTTGTCGCAACTTTGGGGCCTTTTTGTTTCTGAGGCCTTGCAGCATTTTGGTTGTGGATTTTAATAGTAGATTTTCCCCTTAGGGCAAATAAATATGCTGCAACTCTTCCAGCCCTGCTGCTTGCCAGACACGAAGATGGCAAGATAGAGAGCGTGCCACTGGCTGGCACCCGCGCGCAGGACGTCGTGCAGATGGTAACGGGTGCAGCCCGGGAAACCTTTGTGAGTATGCTGCATAGGAGGGGTGGTACTTGTGATCTCAATCAGCTAGTGTGCGGTTTTCCAGCCGTTGATTGCACGGGGTATTGTGCCTTGTGGGTGAAGGTTCCTTGGGGTGCCCTGCTTGGCTGGTCACTGATGATGCACCCAGCTTCTCTAGCCCTGCTAGCCCCTGCCGCACAAGCTCATGTCTTGGTGACCACTGTAGCTGGAGTGCGGTCCAAGGACTTAATGTAGGGTGAAGCGCATCGTAAAGCCAGTGTGTCACAGAGGGTCAGGCTGCCTGCCTCCAGATCCTTGCTCAGTTCCTTCCTGGCTGTCCAGCTCCTTTCTGCTCCTGAGCTTCCATGTGTGTCCAATGTTGGTTAGTGGCACCTGCTGCAAAGAGTTCGTATGAATCTAAAGCAGGTGTGATGATGTGTGATGCTCATGTATAGCATCTGGCCCTCAGTAAATATGCAGCAAATGTTAGCTATCATTTTTATTGATACAGTTTTAAAATACTGTCTTACATGAAAGGCTTTTTCTAATGCTTTATATAATAGTGCATCAAAGGGCATGACAGATATAACCCAGATTACTTGATGCACTTGTTTCATGTTATATTAAACATAACTAGAATACTAGAAATTTGTGCTTCCATACATCTAAAGTAGTAGGGGATGCACACCCTCCTGCTTTTGTATTTATCTGAACATGAATGCTTTCAGGGCTCAAGTGAATGCATATGGTCTTGCATAAGCCTCTTTGGAATCTTGACTCTGTTCTCCCTTCATTAAAGCCACAAGTTATAATTAATCACATATTGTGTTAGTATTCTCAGGATATAAAATTATGTGTGTATTTTTCTACTTGTATAAAGGAACACACACACACACATACACACCCCTACATACATATTGGTTTTTCATAGCTGCATAATACTCTGTTGTATTAATGTTCTGTGTAACTTAACCAGTCTCCTCTTGATGGATATTTGTCTTTAAGTGTCCTGCTGTCTTCTGACAAATACAGGAAAGAACAGTGTCCATCACTGATGTTTTACAAATTCATATTTTAGTTGGTTGTCTTTCTGAAAACAGCACTACGCGTATCACCAACCTGATACAAAAATCCTGTCCGTATTCCCACAAGCTCCTGACAGTGTCAAAGCCTTACCCGTCTGGCCTCACAGGCACCTTTGTCCTTTGTGTTCCCAAGTGTGGCCTCCTTCACTGTCCCGATTCCCAGTGGTCTTCATTCCTGGACAGCTCTCTACCTGTCCTCACAGTGCTCTTCATATCTGAAATCCCCAGTCAGGTGCACGCAACACTGTGTCAAGGTCGTGTGCTTTATGTAAGGTCTGGCTCAAGTGGCACTTCCTCAAATGGCTCAGAGCTTGCTCACCTTACTTTGTAGCAAGCTGCCCCCATTGTATCTTTGCCCATTTACTCATGAGGGGAAGATTGTTAGCTCACAGTATATCCACAGGGTGACTAGGAGGTCTGGAACTAAATTTGGAAAATGGTAGAAGGTTTGCTTTTAGGAGTCACTGCTGTTTTAAATCCTAGTTTGTTGCTTTTTCTGATTCTTACTACTAGCAGTCTAGTTTGTCTTCTACAAATATATATTTTAAATGGTTGCTATCTTTTTATTAATAATAAACTGGTAAAAAGGATCAGATTTCTAATTCCTTGTTAAGTTTCTCTCAGTGGGTGGGCAAGATAGCTCAGTGGACTAAGTGCCTGCTTAGACAAGTGCAGGGACTGGGGTTCCATCCTCAGCACCACATGCCACACCAGCCTGCCGGCCATGGAAACCATGGGTGGTGGCACATGCCTGTAATCCCAGTGCTGAGGAGGCTGAGACAGGAGGATCACTGCGAGTCTGAGCTGCATAGTGAGACCCTGTACCAAAAAA